TAATTTTAATTATTATAAAAATATAGTAAAATTTAAAAAATAATACCAATATAAAAATCTAAATTTTTACTTAAACTTAATTATTTTAAAAACCATTGCATAGAATTTTTTTATTTAAAAGATATAGTTTGAAAGAACTTATATTTTAATTTTTAACTTTATATATTATATATTTAGCTTTGTACAGATTTTTAAAAAGTGTCCATAATACCATGGTACCCCACTGTATAACTATGTATTATACAGATCCTTCTACCAATATTAATATATACTCATACAGGTAATGGTTTATTTACTAAAAAAAAAAATTGTTATTTACAAGGCTTAAATCTGAAAAGCTTAAGAAGCTAGATTCTTTCTCTTTTAGAATCGATAACTTATATTAATTACTAATCACTATTTGCATCACTGATTATTACATATTATCTCATTGCTTATACAATCAATATTTTAAACTTTTAATTATTTTTCATATATACTCAAATTATGCTATTCATGCAAATCAGAGTCATAACCTAATCATAATCCCTGACCCTTGCACTATGAATATCTGGGCACTAACATTAACCACAACTGGAGCTAGATCCCCCAGAACTTTTATCCACAAAGTTTAAACCCAAACTAATAATTTGCTAGCACATACAACTTAGCAAAATAATATTTTATAAAGTTCTATTAAATACATATATACACTAACAGCAATTTTTTTATTTTTTTTTTTACTAATCCTCTTTGTTGCAATATTATAACATTCTATCACCACCACTCTATTTCTGCATTGTCTTTACTAAACTTTCTACAGTATTATCAAATTCATTCTTATAATTTTGTCCAACGGTGCTTCTATTATGACCATTGGTTTGTTATTTGCAACTTCAGATATTGTCTTTTTGAGCTTTACTATATTACTAACATCTTCTTTTAAATCCTTTTTTAGATTATTTAAATTAATCATTATCTTATTTTCAACAATTTCAACACCATATACCTCTTCATCTCTTTTAATCTCTCTGCCAAATTTCTCAGCATATCAGATTTTTTGAATCATTTCTTCACTTAATGCTAGTATATTTTTGCTTTTTTTTTTATTTGCATTGATTGAAACATTATTCACATTGAAGTCATCTTTTACTGACTTAGATTCAACTCAAATGCTATCTTTTTATTTTTTCAACACTAATTTCATCCAAATTAATCTTCATTGCTCTATTATCTGAGCTTGAATTCCCAAAACTTTTAGGTTTATTTTTTATTTTCTTTCTTTCTTTACCCTGATAATTTGTACTATTATTCTTCACCCTCTTTTTTCTTACCTTACATCCTTTTATACTTATACATTTCTTGTCTCTAATTTTATTTTATTTATAAACCTTATATTACTTACTTCTGAGCTTCTAACCAAACTTTCATTCTTGAATTTTTGAATTAGGCAATCACATGCCATGTGCTCTGGTCTTTGGATTCATAACATAGCCTTGGACATTATGGCTTGTATTGGTAAATATTATATTTCTAGACTCTATCTTGGCTTTGTCCAGCCCTATTTAATACTAACCTAACATTCTCTATAATATCTTTTATGAGTTTCATAATTTCTTTGACTCACTTTTCTAATACAGCTTTTACTTCACACATTTCATTTTTTGAATGTTTATTATTCATCTTACTTAGTTTATTACTCAACATTTTGATAACCTTTTGTTGATAATACTTACTTTGTTTCATATATGCTTCAACCTTCAAGGCAGACCTTTTAATGTTTTTGTATGTCTCGGAACAATTATAATAGACCTTCTCACCATATCTTTCATCTAGCCCTCTTATATACATCACATTTAACTTAGCTTTCTGATCTACTTGTTCTTTTGTTATCGACATCTGGGCTTCAAATTGGTTTGTATAACACATTACTAATTCTCTTTTCTATTATTTTATATGCACCAACTTCTTTAACTTTATCTCCCCATTATATGACGTCTTTTTACTTTTGATTATCTTTGACTTTAAATTAGCCCAACTTTTGGTTGTTTATATTAACTCTTTTATCCACAGCCTTAGATGCTCAGAGATATAGCAGCTTATCTTTATTTTCATGCACACTTCACTCTTTCTCTTGGATATGGTATAAGCCTTAAAATCAAATAGAAAATTCTTTATACTCTCTTCACTATTATTATAATAATATAGTATTTGAAGATTAGTACTTTTCATTCTATCTTTTTTTACTTAAGTTAAATATTCTTTTGTTCATTTCCAAATTTACACTTTTACAAAGACTTTCATTTTTTTTATCCTTTAATAATACATTTTACTAAGTATTTTACAGAGACTTTTACTTAATTAACAATTAACTATGTAGTTTGATATTCGATGAGAGTATTGTTCTCTACTCAGGTTTTTTTAGTCACAAGTTATCTTGGTACTACTGTGTACTAGCAGGTCTTTACTATCAGTCTTTACTTGCTTGGCAATAGCTTCTATAACTGTATATTGTACAGGTTCTTCTACTGATATTAATATATGCTTATACAGATAATAGTTTATTTACTAAGAACAAAAGTTATTATTCACAAAGCTCAAATCTAAAAAGCTTAAGAAGCTAGATTCTTTCTCTTTTGGAATTGATACCTTATATTAATTACTAATTGCTATTTGTATCACCAATTATTATATATTATCTCATTACTCATGCAATTAATGTTTTAAACTTTTAATTATTTCTTATATATACCTAAATCACACTATTTATGCAAATCAGAATTATGACCCAATTATAATCCCTGACTCTTGTGCTATAAATATCTGGGGCACCAATGTCGACTATGACAAGTAATGAAAATATAATTAAATATTGCATTTTTAAATTTACTCCAGCATATCATAAAGAAGAAAGAATTTATCATGGCAATATAGTGAAAACTGGTAAGAAAGAGCAGCAAAATCTATTCCAGAAGATGCAAATATTTTATCATTAATTCTTTACTCTGATACAACAATATGTAACTGATTTGGCAAAGCAAGTAAGCATTTAATATTAAGAAATATACAAGTTGGCTTCATAATTTATCTGATTTTAAAGTTCTTTTGGGCTATTTCCCACTGTTAAAAGCAAAAACAATATCTCAAAAAAAATCAAAAACTTTTATACTTGCTAAACAATCTCTATATCTTTAGCATTAGATATTATGCTAGAACCACTACTTGATTATATTGAAAATATATTTGATCTTAAAATAGACTATAGCAATCTTTGGAGCTATCTATTTATATCAACATTAATAGAAGATCTTCCAAAGCACTCATTATTAACACTGATATATAATTCAGTTAACTATAAAAATTTCTGTTATATTAAATGAGAAAATGAATAATATTAAGTTGAGTAATAGTCAAATAATATAAAGAACTTCAAATTCAATGAAAAATATTGTAAAACAAAGACTTGCATATCAAATTTCTTTATCAGTTACATGATTTGTTATACTATTTTGCTTGTAAATTTTTATATATATAAAATTATAAAAAAAACATATAAAATTACTATAAACTTTGATTCTGTGATGTTTCTTCACCTACATATTAATTTAAAATTAAATTGTGCAACAATATATAACACGAAATAACGAAAAAAGTGAGCTTAGAAATCAAATTAAAATTTTGTAATTTTTGCAAATTTTAAAAATACAACTCTATCAAAACTAGTGTTCCTCAAACCCGAACCGAAACCCGAACCGGAACCGAACCAATGAATCCGGATCGGGTCTATAATTTTTTGAAACTGCCCAATTCGGGTTTTGAATTGGATCCAATTCGATAATACCTGACCCGACCCGGTCATAGTAGTGTCATAGTACATTATTATTTCAATTATAGTAATAAATATCGATATGTGAAGATAAAATTAGTAAATGTGATCTTTTTTTTTTTCTTTACTTGCCATTATTTTCTTACACTAAATTTATAATAACAATAAGAAAAGACAATCGTATATTAGTTCTGAGAACAAAAAGACAGTAGGGGAAGAGAAGTATTAGAAGGGGCAGGAAGCATTAGCAGAGGCGAGAAGCATTAGCAAGGGCAAAATTTTTTTTTTTTTTTTTTTTAGAAAAATTTTCTCTTTTTTTTTTTTTTTCATAATTGGTTTTTTGAGAAGGAAAAAAACTCAATAATGTCAAGTCCATTATCAAGTCCATTACCAAGTTCACCTGTATTATCTTATAATGAAACTATGGAACCAACAGATATAACTTGCTTTGATGAAATTGAGAATAGTGAATCATTAATGTTAGCGGAAGATGTTACTAGTAGTGAGTCCTCTACATATTATTCTCAAGGATTTAATAATAACAATACCTTATGCACTAATATGTTTATTTATAGATCATTCGTCTGGAAATATTTTTTAAAAAAAGAAAGTAAAAGCAGATTAGTTGTAGAGTATATGTTTTGTAATAAAAGCTTGAAAGTTCGAGAAGATAGATCTACTTCAAGCTTTAGAAAGCATCTTGCTTCCCAACATAAAAATAAAGTGCCAGAGTTGAAAACATCAAATATATCACAGGGTATTACTGTTTTAGATATGTTAAACAATAATGTAAGTTTATAAATTTTTTTTGGAAATATTTTCTAATAACATATAATTAACAGAATGTGAATCGGAATTATGAACCTTTTGACTCCAAAATCCTTACTGATCTCATTAAAAAGTGGGTGATTAAGTATAATTGGTCTTTTCATATAATTGAAGACGAAGGTTTTAAAGACATATTGACATATTTAGAGCCACGTACAATGGGTACGATATTTAATTTAAATATTTTATTTTAATTTAAACAATATTAAATAAAAACCTGAAAATAATATTATTACTTTATAGCTTTCACCTTGTATAATGCAATTTCTAATTATATTATTTAATACTAAATAGCATAATTAGAAATTGTATTATGCAAGGCAAAAACTATAAAGTTATAATATTATTTTTAGGTTTTTATTGGCATTATTTATTTAATATGAGATTTTTTTTATTAATTTATATATATTATTTATTTATTTATTTTTTATAGCACTATTGTCAGATTTAATCAAAAGGCACATTACAAGTAATTTTGAAGAGAAGCATATTCGACTTCGAAGAAAATTACAAGAGATTCCTGGGCGTATATTACTAACAACTAATATTTGGACAACAAACACTAATGACAAGTCATTTATGTCGGTTACTATCCATTATCTAAGTGAATTATGGACTATAAAAAGCCTTTTACTTGATTTTATCTATATAGATGGGTGGTACACAGGTGTTGAAATCGCTAAATCCATGGAAGAATGTCTTCAATCAATGGGAATTATTTCCAAAATAATGGCAATCACACGTGATAATGCATACGCAAATGATAGATTTTTACAAGAATTTTCAGATTCTGTTTCACAAAATGGTATACAATTTAATGGTGAATAGCAATCAATTCGATGATTTGGGCACATATTAAATCTGGCAATACAATGTATGTTTAAAAATATAGGATGCAAATTAATAAAGGTTGTTTTTATTTATTTATTTATTTATTTTTATTTTAAAATACTTATTTATTTTATTATATATTTTTATCTATATAGTTGCGTGAACTAATAAAGGGTATTAGAGGGTCAAAAATTCTTCACAAACAAATAAAATTAATGTGTCAAATACATAATTTGAAAGCACTAAAACTGATCCTTGATGTCTCTATAAGGTGGAACTCCACCTATGACATGTGTAACTGTGCAATAGTGCTACAAATCGTGTTGGATACTATTTCTTATACTGAATCAGATTTACGCCAGTATGCACTTTCCGAGGAAGACTGGAAAAAAATCAAGCAACTTATTAAGATTTTGTTACCATTTAAAGAAGGTTACTATTTTTATTTATAATAATAAAAATAAAATAATTTAATCTAATTTTTGATTTAATTTAGCAACTGTTATGATGTCCAAACAAGAATATCCAACATTGTCGAATATAATCTCTTTTTATCATATGTTAATTAAAACACTTGAGAATGCTATACAAAACAAAGATACGCCATGATGGCTCATTGAAGGATGTGAAGTTGCAATGGCGAAACTTCTAAATTATTGTCAAAAAATGAACGTATTAAATCTTGCGGCAGTAATACTGAATCCTCGGCTTAAACTTGAGTATTTTTAAACACTAGGTTGGCTATCAAGACTTATTACTCAGATTAAGAATATGTACGTTGTAATTTAAATTATATAATTTAATTACAAAGTTAAAAGTAAAAAAAATTAATACAAAATAATTTTTATTTAGCATAATTGACAAATATGAAATTGAATATGTACCTGTTTATGATACAACTTGTTTAGTTGAAGAATCATCTGAAATAAACTTATTATTACGAATTTACAAACGACCACATATTGAACCACAAAGTCAGCTTGAAACATATCTATTTGTATCACGTGCAGATCCAAACACAAATATTTTAGAATGGTAGAGAATTAATGAATCAAGCTATCCAAATATTGCAAAATTTGCTCGTGACTGCCTTCTGATTCCAGCTACTAGTGTTTCAAGTGAACAAATCTTTAGTATTAGTGGTGATATGATAACTAGTAAATGGAATCGATTATGTGGTAAAATAGTGCGAATAGCAATGTGTTTGTGTTCCTGGTAGAGAGAATTAAATAGCTAAATTTGTAAATTTGTAATTTGTATAGTTATCTAAAGTTTATAAATAAAGATTTTAAATTTGCTTAGTGTAATATGATATTTTATCTCAAGAACATTTCTTTATTATTTTTAAAAATAAAAAGCCGAGAAAATTCAATTCTTTAATTTCTCTTTTTATTTGCTATATTTATATAACCTCTATTCTACCTAATATTACTATATTCTTTATACGCTGTTTTGATACATTCATATGACTTAATAATTACTACATTCTTTATGCGCTGCTCTGATATATTTCTATGATCGTTTGTATTTTGCAATCCTAATTATTACTTCATACTTATCTATACTTGTGCTACAGACGATAATCACATTTCGTTGTCACGATTCTCTTTGTTATGATCGTGATCGTTATGTGAATCACGATCGTTGTGTAAGTCATGTTCCCGATAATCTATTTTTATTTTTTATAAATGATAAATTTCGGGTCAGTTCCGGATCAGTTTTGGGTTTGCTCTAGTTAGTTTCGAGTTAGTTTTAAATTTGATCTGACTTTTCAGTTTTGATTTGAGTCTTATAATAAACCCAGTCCGATCCGACCCGTGAGGAACACTAATCAAAACTAAATATTTACTAATTTTAAAAGACAAATTATATATAAAATTTTATGCTAAACAAAATTTTTCTTAGTAGCAAAATAGGTTGTATTAGTAAAAAAATAAGTTATCTATATAC